TGGGGAATGTCTGTTTGAAGACTCCTGCAGTGAACTGGCTGTTGACCAAAATGCGGTCGGCCATGCCTGTGGTCAGTTCCTCAAACCAGTCGATGGGGCCGCGATATATGCGCTTCAGAGCAGAGCGACGCTGAGTCAGTAGTTGGTCAGGAAAATGACAGTAGAATAGGACTTTCTTTCTGTGGCGTGCCAAACGCAAAAAGGGAATACATGCTGAAACCTGAAAGAGGGAGATGGGCAAATAAAATTAACCCTTGTGGTTGTGAGGATAACGATTATCTTGATTCTGACTGGTCAATCACAGCATTGTGTGGTCTACTAATCTGTTTATTTGACCAATGTTTATGGCATCTTTTATACTGTGGTCATATATTATGTGTCTTGATGGCTTTTTTGTAGCTCAAACTGTACAGCATGGCGATAGCCACACCAAAGTTATGGGTTTGATTACCAGGGAATGCATAAACTGAAAAAAAAAAATGCTTGCAATTCAATGTTGCTTTGGATAACTGCATCTGCGCCAAATGCATAAATGCCAAATACTTATTTTACCGAGGAATTTACCAATTAATTCTTTAAAAATCCTACAATGTGATTTTCTGGATTTTTTTTCTCATTTTGTCTCTCATAGTTGAGGTATACCTATGATGAAAATTACAGGCCTCTCTCATCTTTTTAAGTGGGATAACTTGCACAATTGGTGGCTGACTAAATACTTTTTTGCCCCACTGTAATTCATTACTTAGCTCCTTCTTCTCATATAATAAACTAATTTCAAGTTAAAATTATTTTAATTATTATTATTAAATTATTAAAATTATAAAATTATTTAATTATTATTTTGTAAACCTATTTAGTTGTTAGATAGTAGTTAGACCAAAAATATATCTAGATATATTCAGTTCAAACTAACTAGGAATGTTAGCGGAGAAAAAGTTAGAGATTATGTTTGGAAATGTTTCTCAATACTTTGCTAAAGTCCACCACTGAAAAATAGCAGTGCTGTTAGACTGAAATAAAATATTGGATGAAATGTTGCTGTTGCAACTACCTAAAATAAACAAGTTTAAGTACTAAAAATGACTAAAACTGAAATAAAAATCAATTAAAGCTAAATAGAAGTGTAGAAAGACAAAAACACGTAAAACTTGTAAAAATATGAATACTGAAAATATAAAAATAAATAATACAAAATATTAATAAATACTTTAATAGTATAAAAATAATACTAAAATTACAATGATGATTAGTAGTTAGTGTTAGTAGCATTAGTAGTTACCTGATCACAGAAAACAACATCGAACTCCTCCCCACTAAAGAGCACAAGATAGAGTGTTACATAAATCATGCGCAGGTATGCACACAGAGCATGGAAATAACCAAACACGCTGGTGGGCAGCCAGTCACCCACACACACCACAGGCAGGTCAGGTGAAAGCGTCTCAGAGAAGCAGTGCTGGGGGTCATAGTGTGCCGTCCAGATCTGAACGCTGCATCCACGAGAGCGCAGAGCTACAGCTGCATCCACCACCAGACGCTCTGCTCCACCTATACCCAGATCAGGGTGCAGAAACACCACCCGAACCATCCTGTCCTGACCAGAACCTGTTCAGTCAAAAGGAGGTCAAATGAATATTACACCTCATTTTTAAGCTCAAGACAGAGCAAGTAGATTTTCCAGTTGCTGCTTTACAGAAATCATAGTAATCTATCACCAGTGTTGGGAAGGTTACATTGGAAATGAAGGAAGATTACAAGTTACCCTTATTTAAAATGTAATAAGTACGTCATGTAACTGTTTCAATTACTTTATTAAAGTTATGTAACTGATTACTTTTCTGAATTTCTAATGTTTTCAACTGCAAGTCATTTCCAAACATTTAAACTAGGCAGGGTTAACTTTACAGTAGTGCTCAACACCACAAGCCCAATTCCAGAAAAGTTGTTGTTTTTAAAAGTTTTGTAAAATGCAATAAAATCAAGAATCTGAGATTTGTTAATTCTCTAACTTTTATTTAATTTGGAAAAGATTTCCAAAGTGTTCACTGACCAACTTAAATGTATTTTGTAAATATAAACACATTTTAATTTTGATGGTTGCAACACACGCTAAAAAATTAGGACAGAGGCAAAATAAAAGTGAAAAGGTTATAGAATATCTAAATTAAACTGTTTTGAAACAGTTCACAGTAAGTAATAGTTGAGGGTGTCATGTTTGGATATAAAAGGAATATCTCAGTCTTTGCAAGCAAAGCTGGATTATGGCTCATCATTTTGTGACAAATTTCATAAGAGAAGTGCCAAACAAAAATCAAATTTCTCATGCAAAATCACAAAGAATTTAGGTCTTTCAGCAACTACCATACATAATATTGTGAAAAGATTCATGGAATCCAGAGAAATCTCAGTCTGTGTTGGGCAAGGCAGGACATCTCAGTTGAATGTGAGTGAGCCGTCATGCTGCTGTGTTAAATATGGCCTCATGGACTCAGGAGTGCTTCGGAAAACCGCTGTCACTTAACACAGTCTGCTGCTGCATCTATAAATGCAACTTGAATCTGTTACTCTAGGAGAAAGCTATACATCAATTCTATGCAGGGATGCTATGGGGTTCTCTGGGCCAGAGCTCATCTCAGACTGTCTCAAAAAGACAGTAGAAGTGCTGTGGTCAGAGGAGTCCACATTTCTACTGGTTTCTGAGAATAATATACGTTGACTTCTCAGTCCCAAAGGGACCATCCAGACTTTCATCATCAACAGATGCAAAAGCAAACGTCTGTCATGGTATGGGGGTGCAGCAGAGCAAACGGCATGGGTGACTGGCATATGTGCAAAGGTACCATTGACATGAAATTACAGGCCTCTCTCATCTTTTTAAGTGGGAGAACTTGCACAATTGGTGGCTGACTAAATACTTTTTTTCCCCACTGTATATAGAGAAATTTTACAGAGTCATACGGCCATCAAGATTACGTCTTCATGGGAAGTCCATGGTTATTAGCTCAAGACATTGCCAGGTTTCATTCTACATGTGCTACAACAGTGTGGTTTTGTAGACACAGAGTGAATGTTCTAGACTGCCCTGTCTGCAGTCCAGATCTGTCTCCTATTGAAAATGTACGACCAGTCATGGAAAGGAGAATCAGATAACGATGATCACAGACAAGACTGGACCAAAATTTTTATTGCAAAACTTTAAGAATTAGTATCCTCGTTGTAATTAAAAGGAAAGTTGATGTGATGGTGGTAAACGTGCCTCTGTCCCAACTTTTTTGTAGTGTGCTGCAGCTATCAAAAATCTAAATTTGTTCATATTTATAAAATAAAATTAAGTTGGCCAGTGAAAACATTGGATTTTTTTTCTTTGTACTTTAGTCAAATTAAATAAAGTTTAAAGAGAATGAACAAATAGGCCTATTATATTCTTGATTTTATGGCATTTCAAAAAAACGTCCCAACTTTTCTGGAATTGGGGTTGTAATTACTGTCAGACTTTCAAAATCCTTCATCACTTGAATTAAGATTATGATAATTTAATTTAAAGCACAGCCACCACAAAATCAGACTTACTTTGAGATCATTCTGAGGTTAAATACAGATTTAAAATCATAATAGCTATGATAATGTTTTTGAATTCAAATCTTTGCATAGCTATGCCAGGAAACACTGGAATCTAACAATGCCTTGGAAAAAAAGGATATACATAAACCCAAATAGGAAATAAAACAGTTATCGAATAAGCATGTGTCCTGTTCTCTGTATTAAACTCCTGAGACACTGGTGTCTCATATTTTAGAGCAGTCACTGCAATTTATGAAAGAAATCAATTAAATCTGTATGTGGGTGTGTGTGTGTGAAAAAAATTCTGATGTAACCCTCTTTGTAGTCGTTAACATTTTCATAAGTAGCTGTAATTTAATTACACATTTTTCTCAGTGACTGTAACCAATTACAATTACATTTATTTTGTAATTAAATTACATAATTCTGTTACTCCCAAACACTATCACGCACATACTTACGTTTACTTAGTTGTAAAGCTGCTTTGAAACAATAATGTGAATTTATGAATTTAATTTAATTATCTAAATGAAGTCGTTTCTTAGACTTCTATTGTTTTTATACCACTAATTATAAATAAGTTCCTAACAGAAAACATGGTTAAGTATACACACACGTTGCAGATAAAGTTAAGTTAACAATGTTTTTATCAGATGATTAATCTCGATCACATCAGGTATCTCATGTCACTGTGTTGTTACAGCAGTCTATGGTTACAACAGGCCAGCACAGGTCTCTGCGAGCGTTCATGTCACTGGGTCACAATCTATCATAAGCTCTAATACATTCTATTATGTTATTACAGTCCTGCGATTTCAACTGTCTGCAGATATCTATAAACAAGCTGGACAGGTGAATTCAGAGCTGGAGAAAACATCAGTATTCATTCTCAATGTCATATATTTAGTAAAACATAAGTCTAGACTCAGTATTTACCCTGCTCCACACTTAGCAGTAACACTGTAACAGCATAATGTCATAATTTTGTTTACACAAACTCGAATTGTGCTTACAGTGTCAGTTAACAACCAGACATAATGCTTTAAAGTATCGTGTCGAGAAAGCACTCACCTGTACTCTTACGTTTACCGACACTAACTCAGCTGTCTGTATGAATGATCAAATATGGCTCAAAGTTCGCGATTTAGTGAAACTGGCTTCCTGATTGAGCCAAAATGTCTGCCCTACTCTGTACACATCATCCATCGCACATGACACGTCACTGCACTCCGTGGAACCGCCTTTGAGTTCCCCCAAAATAAATTCTGTAACTAAGCTAAATCTGTTTTGACGTTTCATGTCAAATCTAGGTTCAGAAACCAGCCTAAATGTGTTCAAATGGAATGCGCTGGATCACAGTTCCGGTCAGGCACGCTAATGGTTTCTATGAGGGTCCTTTCTATGGCTGTCGTGGCCTCCTCAGTGAAACGTCATCAATAGGCTCTCTCTTGTAGTGGTCTGGATCGGCTGGAGTTCGGTTACAGAGCCAGAGTCTTTCTTTTACCCGCAGTTTCCTAAACATATACTATTAAACAAAATGGTAAGTTTCTTAAGGCCGCTTTTCGTAGTTGTGTTGCTTTATAATAAGTGTTTTGCGCGTGTTCACAATTATATCTGGATTGCTATCTGGTAGCCAGTCATGCTCCGTAGTAACGTACCGTTATTTGAATAGTTAACTTAGTTCTGTAATTTAATTGCTTAGCAGCCACTTAGATTTAGTTTTTTTTATTACTAGAATTGGGGTTTTGAATAGTATTTAGTTTCGTGCCAGTAGATTTACATTCAAAGTTTAAAGGGTTCGTTCGCTCTCTAGCTGCAATCACTGCATTTGTTTGGGAGTCGTGGCTCTTTTGGACCCCCACACCAACTCTTCATTCTAAATCTGGCCCATTCTCTTAGCATGAATATTAACTTTTACAATAAAGTGTGTGTTGCGTTATTTCACTATTATATAGGTTTGAACATCTAGTGATCTGTATATATTTTTTATTCAGCCTGGACCTGCAGCTAGTGCAACAAATGTTGGTGCCTCCAGCCGTTCCCCCAGTAAGACCGTGGCCCCTCGCACCGCTGGCACCTCAGCCAGACAGAGGTAAGGACCTCGCAAGAACAGATTTGTTTGGGTCTTAATACACCATCAAGCTGAATCAAAGTGCTTTCTTTGTATTTCTGTAATTTGTTCAGCAGACATTAATGATATTGTTTAATTAGATCTCTGTAAGTCACAGTTGACTGATGAGGCCTTAATCAGTCGAGATGCACCGATTGTAATTTTCTTGGCCGATTCTGATTTCCGATTTATTTATTTTTTTGTAAGTGTGACCTGCCGATTCCGATTTTCTAAATAATTGACAGCATATACAAACAAAACTATATGCACATTTCAATGCAAAAATTATTTGCATAATAAAATAAATTATTAAACATTACAATTCCCCCAATCTGGACTAAGTTACAGATGTCCTCTCACTTAAACAACTCTCAAAATAAAGTGCTCTGTGACTGGAAAGAGGTAGAAATGAGTTGCTGTTATTAACAAAACGGATGGCATTTCCCACTATGCTTATAAATGATCTTTTCCCCCTCCTAACCTTATTAAATGTGTCATTTTCACATCAAATTCTTACATTGTTTCAATTAATTCAGTTAGAATAATAAGAAACTGTAGAGTTTTTACCATTCAAATTAAATCAGTATCAACAAACTCCATCTTTTTTTTCATTGCAGGAAACACAGAAGCTGCATCTGAAGTGCCATTAGATGTATTTACACAGACTGTTTGATGAAGCTGAGGTGCCATAAATGCATTTACATCACAGATGCATTTCAAATGCATTTACACCGCAAATGCATTTCAAATGCATAAATAATTTATAAGATTAATGTTTTTACATATTTTTTGACAAATAAATGTTGTGAAAATGCAGTGATACTTTTAAATATGACTAAACCAGCACTAGGCGGCGGAAAATTACTGTTTTAATGCATGATTCATTTAGTTATTCATTCAACCTATTCGTTCAAACGGCTGATTTTCGTCAGCGAAATTGCGCAAAAACAGTCAATATTGTCAGATATAAGTCATTTAATTTTAACTTCTTGTTTATTGAACTACTATTGTATAAAATCAGTGTCACATTGCAAACATGTTGATATTCGGGGAAACATCTTGGTCGAGTAATGTTGCTTACCTAAATCATATTTTATAAATTAATTTTCTTCTACTGCAGTATGCATCTGTAACTTTCTGTGAGTTACTTTGTGTGTGCTGTTGCGCTCCTTGGTTTGGATTTCTGCATGAGTCTCTCTCACTAAGGCTGCGTGAGCTTCATTTGGCACGACATGAATACATTATCGGTCACAGTTTATGCAATTAAAATCAGAATCATTCAGAATCGCTTAAAACGACATGTTTACATGCGGATATGAGCGTAAGTGTGACGTCAAAACGGACTGGCTCTGAATCGGCAGACTGACCGGCTGGTCACCGGTCCGGTGGAATTTCCGATTAGGAAAATCAGCTAATTCCGGTCCCTGGCCAGTTGATCGGTGCATCTCTACTAATCAGTGTTTTGTCCTGTGAATTTGACATCATCAGGGTTTGATTTAATTAATCGGTTGCCATTTTTATTCAATTTGAGTGTTTGATAATATCTGACACTTATCTTGTATTTTTAAGCAGATAGATTTATTTTGTTGTTGTTCATTTCATCAGGAAAGCCCCTAGCAGTGGTGCACGCAGCGGAGGCAGATCCACAGCATCAGCTGGCACTGGAGGGATGTGGCGCTTTTACACTGAGGACTCACCTGGACTTAAAGTGTGAGTACTCTCTCAGAATACAGAATGATTTAATACTCTTTACTCAGAGATAGTAAAAAAAGTTACACTATTGTTTACAAGTTTTTTATTTTTTATTAAATGAATACTTTTATTTAGCAAGGATGCATTAGATTTAGAATAAGTGACAGTAAAAACACCTATATTACACAAGATTTATTTTTCAAATCTATTCATCCAAGAATGCTGAAAAAAATGAATCATGTTTCCACAAATATATTGAGCAGCTCCAAATCAGTGTAATACAGTGATTCCTGAAGAATCATTCAGCTTTGCAATCAGAGGAATAAATTACATTCTAAAATATATTACAATAGAAAGTTATTAGGGCACGAGCACCAATGTTTGGAATCACATAGATGTGACTATTCGTTGTCAAAGGGGGTTCGTTTTTCCTGCAGTCACCAAACTCTGTACATATATTGTTCTCATCAACCCGAACAACTTTCTAATTTACAGTCATTAGCTACGACCAAAAGGACGTCGGCTATTTTGGTTTGAATGTGGATTTTTGGAAAAATCAGACTGAATTAAAGGGGTCATATGATGCGATTTCAATTTTTCCTTTCTCTTTGGAGTGTTACAAGCTCTTGGTGCATAAAGAAGATCTGTAAAATTGCAAAAGACTAAAGTCAGAGACTGAGGAAATACATCAACTTGGCGCTGTCGATCGCCGGGTCGGCTTTCACCGGGGTCGAAGCGGAGTCCAGCCCGGGGTCATCACATGTGGTTGCCGCAAGCCCGCCCGCCCGCCTCTGCTCACTCAAGCCGGCCTCCGCGTACTCTAGGCCGCGGTGTGTGACGCTTTTTCTTTGTGAAAGCAAAACTACTTTGTTTGGCCTTCCAAAAGAGGACACGACTAAAAATCAGTGGTTAAGTTGTATTTACAACACTGTTCCAGAACAGTTTAACTCAAATATTCAGATGTGTCCAGCACATTTTATGGAGGACTGTTTCCTGATCCTTGTAGAGTAGACTACAATGCCGGCTGTTCTGACTCACAGAGTGTAAGTACGTTTTTTATATTTAAAGAATTTGCCACTGACGATTCAAACGCGAGTTTTGAGAAGTGTAGAGTAGCACTTGTTGTTTGTCATTTCTCCGATCACAAATGCAGACATGGTTTTATGATACGCTCCGGCCGGACAGGGCATCACAATATGGTAAGGGGCGTAACATTTCCGTCACACGCTTGAGGTATTTGACCAATCACAACGCACTGGATAGCTGGCCAATCAGAGCACACCTTGCTTTTCAGAACGATGAGCTTTGTAAAAATCTACGCGTTTCAGAAAGGCGGGGCATAGAGGAGAAACAATAATGTACAGTATGTGGAAAATAATGTGTTTTTTGTACCTTTTTGTACGCATTTCATTACACCAAATACACAAAATAATGTTCTTTTTAGCAGCATCATATGACCCCTTTAATGCATACTCCTCCTAGGAGATTCATGAAATTCAGACCAAACTTTGTCAACATGATGCCAAGATACTGAAGATGCTAAATTGTGAACTGATTTTGGATATCTTGAACTGTTACCATGGCGATTTATTAAAAATAACAGTAAACATTTTTAAGATTTAAATTTTTTCTTATATCTTTAAAGTGCATTATCCGAACTCTTCAAACAAATGTACTTATGGAGAACAAATCATTCTGAGGAATCATGCTTGGTTTCATAAATGTAAAATAGCAGAAAATGAAAAACTATCAGACATTTCAGCTGACAGATGAAGGCTATAATACTAAGGTTGTCCACTAGATGGAGTCATAGATCTTTTAAATCTTTGTCATATGATGCTGCTAAAAAAGAACAGTATTTTGTGTATTTGGTGTAATGAAATGTGTTTATGCGGTTTAAGGTTAAAAAAACACATTATTTTCAACATACTGTACATTATTGTTTCTCCTCTATGCCCCGCCTTTCAGAAACGCGTCGATTTTTACAAAGCTCATCAGTCTGAAAAAGCGAGGTGTGCTGTGATTGGCCAGCTATCCAGTGTGTTGTGATTGGCCGAATACCTCAAGCGTGAGACGGAAATGTTACGCCCCTCACCATATTGTGATGATGCCCTGTCAGGCCGGAGCGATGATTCAAAAACATGAAAACCCATTGGATATCGTCCTCTTTTGGAAGACCAAACAAAGTAGTTTTGCTTTCACAATGAAACAGCATCACACACGGCGGGCTACAGTGAGCAGAGGCCGGGGGATAAAGTGCGGAATGCCTGGAGGGTTAGCGTGAGCAGAGGTGGGTGGGTTTGAGAACGGCGCGGCCGGCGATTTCGACGGAGCGTCCGGAAGGACATGTGACGACTCTGGGCTGGACTCCGCTTTGTCCAAGGTGAAAGCCGATCCGGCGATCGACAGCGCAAAGTTGTAGTATTTCCTCAGAGACCAGCACGGATCAGCTCCAGGCATGACGAAGCAGATATCGTCCGCTTTTGGAAGACCAAACAAAGTAGTTTCGCTTTCACAATGAAGCACACAGCGTCGCTATGACATGGCGGTGGAAACAACAAAACTACAGCGAGAATAAAAGTTATGCCTTCTTTTTTTGCGTGAACATTTGGGCGGTGTTATGCAAATCTTCCCAGATAGTGACGTAGATATGTGGGGGCGTGTTAGAATGAGCCATTTTAGGTAGGCGTGGCTGACTCTTAACTTTTATAAAGAATATCTCTTTGGATTTGAGACTTTAGTCTTTGCAACTTTACAGATCTTCTTTATGCACCAAGAGCTTGTAACACTCCAAAGAGAAAGGAAAAATTGAAATCGCATCATATGACCCCTTTAAGCCTAATCTTATTCAGCTCAGTCTCCATCTATTAGAATGACAAATAAATGCATAGAATGAGGTGATATGTACTGTACTGTATACTTTCAACATAATTATTTTAGAAATTCTTATAAAGCATTAAAATCTTATAGATCATTAGAAGTTTTATATATTCTACCCTCTCTCTCTCTCTCTCTCTCTCTCTCTCTCTCATAGGATAAGAATCTTTTAAGCCTGATCCTAGGGCTGGGCGATTTTCCAGATTTTATCGATTAATTCGAATTTATTGTTTTGCCACGATTTTATTTTTTAGAAATCGAGGAATCTCGATTTTCAATAGAAATATTACCAAATGTTAGAATTAGACACTTGACAATATGCCGGTGATAACAGTAAAGAGAAAAGAACGATCCAACTGCATGTCGGCGCACGTGATTAACCGCTCACGTGTGACGCGCTCTGTGAAGGTCCATAAATATAGGCTAAGCTCCATTCACACAGAATGCGCTTTTGTGTTGACGAAGATGCGACGCAGGCAGTGGAATAGGTAAAACATGCAAGAAGATGGGAGTGAACTTATTTTAATATGAACGCAGTGTTTTTAGAAAGCCTTTTCGTGCGTGAGACGCTGCAAGAGACGTGAGCGCAACAGTCAAACACATCCATGTTTACTTGGATATAGATTTATCGGCCAACATATCGGTTATCGGCTTTCAAAAATAAAGAATAATCGGTTATCGGTATCGGCCAAAATTTTCATATCGGTGCATCCCTAGAAAAAACAATGGAAAAGCAGCGCAATCGAATAAAAAATCTGTAAAGAACTGCTACTGTATGTCTGATATTTCATGTTTGCATCATGGTGACAGGCTGAAAGCTGCTGTTGTTTTTAAAAAACATTTATAGTTAATAAAAGTCTACTGGTGTTATACCTTCAGTCATTTTCAGAATCAGAATCAGAAAGAGCTTTATTGCCAAGTATGCAAGGAATTTACATACAAGGAATTTGTTTTAGTGGCATAAGCTTCCAGTACACAGAGACAACACACAGACAATAAAAAAAAATACACATGTAAATATAAATAGACAAATATTGAAAACTAAATCGAAAACTAAATAAATTGTATGTACAGTTGTGCTATAGATGATAGAATGGAATAGAATGAGATGCAGGGATGTACTAGGATGGAGGTGGTAATAAATAAATATAAGATTATTGCACATTTGTATTGCGTAATGTGGGAAACGTTTAACTGTTCATGAAGTAGATTGCCTGGGGGAAGAACCTGTTTCTGTGCCTGGCTGTCCTGGTATTTGCTGCTCTGAAGCGCTGGCCAGATGGCAAAAGTTCAAAAAGGGGATAACTTGGATGTGAGGGATCCAGAGTGATTTTCTGAGCCCTTTTCCTCACTCTGGATGTACAGGTGCATCAGAATGTCTTGGAAAAGTTCAGTAATTCAACTCAAATTGTGAAACTTGTGTATTAAATAAATTCAGTGCACACAGACTGAAGTAGTTTAAGTCTTTGGTTCTTTTAATTGTGATGATTTTGGCTCACATTTAACAAAAACCCACCAATTTACTATCTCAACAAGGTAGAATATGGTGACATGCCAATCAGCTAATCAACTCAAAACACCTGCAAAGGTTTCCTGAGCCTTCAAAATGGTCTCTCAGTTTGGTTCACTAGGCTACACAATCATGGGGAAGACTGCTGATCTGACAGTTGTCCAGAAGACAATCATTGACACCCTTCACAAGGAGGGTAAGCCACAAACATTCATTGCCAAAGAAGCTGGCTGTTCACAGAGTACTGTATCCAAGCATGTTAACAGAAAGTTGAGTGGAAAGAAAAAGTGTGGAATAAAAAGATGCACAACCAACCGAGAGAACTGCAGCATTGAGGATTGTCAAGCAAAATCGATTCAAGAATTTGAGTGAACTTCACAAGGAATGGACTGAGGCTGGGGTCAAGTCATCAAGAGCCACCACACACAGACGTGTCAAGGAATTTGGCTTCCAAAAGCACCAAAAGTTGTTTAAATGACCCCATGGTGTGCTTGACTGGCCAGCAAACTCACCAGACCTGAACCCCATAGAGAATCTATGGGGTATTGTCAAGAGGAAAATGAGAAACAAGAG